AATATAGCAACACCCCGAGCTAAGACAGTGTCTAATTGGTCAAAACACCATTTGGGATGTGGCCAACAACCCGGTTTAAATACTCAGGACACCATCAAATTATGCTTTTAGTCATGTTTTTTTTTCGCTTTTTGCCTCTAGCTTTTAGTTTTCCTCTTTTTAGCTCTTTAGCTTTTTTGGTCATGGCTTCTAGCCATACTTTTCAGTCATCGCTTTTTGCGCTCTTTGAGCGTGCTCTGGCTTACACGCCAGCTCCTCCAAAACCATGAGGAGAAACGCCACCTAGTCTCGTCAAACTTTACTTCTATTTCTTTACTTTAGTTTCTTTTCTTTTCCGTTGAGAGTTTCGTGTTCTGAGTTAAGTTGCCACTAAGAAACCTTGTCTCCTCTCCACCAATAAGCTGGTGTGTGGTGGGCGTTCTGGCGCACTATGGCTGCCGTCGCATCATCCAGGTGGATGCTGCACACTGGTGGTGGATGAGGAGATACCCCCTGACAATGTAAAGCGCTTTGAGTGCCTAGAAAAGCACTATATAAATGTAATGAATTAAACCTATTCAGAAAAAAAGAGAGTTTTTGGTTTGAATCATACTAATAAATCATTCAGAGAATCCATCAGACCCAGTAACAAATTTTTATCTATGATTATCTGACTAGCATACTGAAGGTTATCATTTGTCCTGTTCATGTCCAACTCAAATTAAACTTTTACTGTGACATGCTGTATATTCTATGAAGCACATTATGGAATGTAGTTTGTGCAACTTAAATCAGTAAATTACATTTTTTTATTAATTTATAAAAAACTTGAGATACAGCTGTTTCTAAAAACCAGAACTTATTCTAGATGTATGACCACACTTATAATACAGCATTGGCCTTATTGGGAAAATGGTGATAATGCCAACTGAGCCAAACCTCTCTCCCAGTGTCCCCAGGCCATATGGCAATTCTTATTGTCAAGCCCAAGGAAGCCTAAAGTTTTGAAATTGTAATTGGTAAAATGCAGTGTATAAAGGGTACAGCACATTGCACTTTGATCTGGCTCAGTTCTTTTTACTGTGTTGCTTTATTGTGTATTGATTCAGACAGTTTTGTTCCCACAGGGCCATATAACTGGTCTCACCGGAATTATGGACTTCATGGACAATGGATCAAATTCCCATGTTCAGTTTGAGATTTTGGGGACCAGCTTCAGTGAGACATTTGGAAAAGACATAAAGCGAGTGAGTTCAATAGTTCAGGATAATTTTTAGTACCTGATGTAAAAGCTGTCTTTTGACATTATTTTTCAATATTTTTTTTCCATTACCAGTCACCTTTGGTAAAATGAAAACTTAAAGGGTTAGTTCACCCAAAAATAAAAATTAGGCTGCGTTTTACTCACCCCCGATGCATCCTAGGTGTATATGACTTTCTTCTTTCAGACGAATCCAGTCGGAGTTATATTAAAAATTGTCTTTGATCTTTCAAGCTCTATCGTTGCACTCAGCGGGTGTTGCATTGCTTATGTCCAAAAGACGTGAAATAAAAAGCACCTTTCCATTAAATAAAGTGTCTCACACGGCTCCGGGGGGTGAACAAAGGCCTCTTGTAGCGAATTGATGCATTTTTGTAAGAAAAATATCCATATTCAAAATGTAATAATCACTTTAATCTAGCTTGCACCAGCAGTTGTACACAGAAGCAGTTCCGGGAGCATGACGTATGGGGTCAGCGTTGCACATGCGCCAGTGAGTCTCGTGAAAACCAACGTTTGTTTACAGGATCAAAAGAAGCAAAGTTTCCTTACTTTAGCAAAGGAAAACAAGTCTCCTCTTGGCTTATATCGAAATCCTCCGACATTCTTCTTTACAAATCCTCATTTTGTACTTCTAATTAGTGACCGTTGTTTTGTTTCGATCTCTCCGCGTGCGTCACTTCTGAGCGGCGCACGTGCAAAGCTGACCTCATACGTAATTCCCCCGGAACCGCTTCCGTTTTACAACAGTGAGCACAAGCTAGATTCAAGTGATTATTACGTTTTGAATATGGATAGTTTTCTTACAAAAACGCATCGATTCACTACAGGAGGCCTTTGTTCACCCCCCGGAGCCGTAATTTTTAATATAACTCCAACTGGATTCGTCTGAAAGAAGAAAGTCATATACACCTAGGATGCATCGGGGGTGAGTAAAACGCATAAGGATGCATTTGGGTGAACTAACCCTTTAAATTGAGTTCCCTGTTTGTGAGTAAACTGCTTTTTTTGAAAGAATTGCCAATGAGAACAACTTGTCTTGATTTCAACTGTGCAGATTGTGTACCCAGACTGCCATTTTGACACCTCACCTCTGTGTCAAACAGCCAAGAGGCAAGAGTAAACAGCAGTGAGGAGTCAAGCTTTGGCAGACTTGACAAGCCAGGCCAAACGTGCTATAATGTGAACTTTATGAACTTTACTTTATGTGCCTATTGTCCTGTTTAAACAGTATGTGCTAAGTGTTCCCTACACACTGTTTATTCAATTCCATATATACTAGAATATTTGGATATTTTCACTAGATTTTGTTGTGCTTTTCCTAGAACAATCACAAGTAATTTTCATTACAGATATTCCGTCCTCTTTTCTCTTCTTAGCTGGATTTGCTGATTCTCATGCTTTGTTTTTATAGCCATAAACTGCTTGGCTCCATCCATCATTTAAAAGAAAGAGTAATATAAATTACAAGAGAGGAAAGAGTCTGCTGGTAATGAAGATTTAATCACCCTGCATCCCAACCTGAATTATGAACCCACTGTATCACATTATATCCATTAGGATCCACAGTGCCACAACCATTTACTCCCTGCCCGCACACACACGGGCCCTGGCATTACCGGCTCCCCCTCATACAAAGCACATTTATTAGCTATAATGAAAGGAAAGGACAGCTAATGGTACGTCAAGTGTACTCAGTCCCGTTGTTGTTCATTATTAGAGCACCAGCTGTAGTCTTCTAAGCAGTGCCGCCCAAGAAGAGATTAATATAGCCAACTGCATTTCCACCCTGCTATGGAGACAAATAGCGAGCCGTGCTGTTAATTTGACATATGTCATGGATTGAAAGCAGAGGCAAATACATTTCTTATTTTCAAGTCATTTATTCAGGGGTGACTCAGTACCCTGTTTTAGTGTCTTCTTTTGTCCTATCTCAGTGTTTAGTCTCTATGTCTGTCTAAATGGCTTTTCTCTGACTGCTTCTATATTAGCTCTGTACGAAAAACTACTAAGCTGCCTACCAAGACAGCATTTTAAAATGTTTGTGACGTACTCCCGTCACTAACACTTTGTCTACACTGGATGGGAATGGGGCATTTTTTCTAAAATAGATTTTTTGAGAAATGTAGACTGTATAGACTGTACATTGATGAAAATATTAATATAACTTATATTTTATTAGCAAGTGGAAATTTGTTATTTAGCATTTTTCTGAAAATTTTTGTTTTTGAAGCAACGTCACGAAATATTATGTATATGTGTTCATTCAGAGTGGTGATTGGCTCCCGTGACTGGAGTGTATGTGTCTATGTCATCGGTTTCTCCGCAATTATTCATGAGAAAGAGCTTGTTCAATCTAATCACTGCAGACTATTATGAATGAATAATAACTGCATTATAAAATATCACTTCTGACACTTGTCATCCCCCATTGTCATCATTCAGAGACATGGGCTGTAAGTATTCGTTTCTTAAGTGCGACAACATAAAATTTTGTTTGCGTTTCCAAGTGACACAACGAGAGCTGAAGTTTGGGTGCAGGCAGTTGGCTTACTGTGGACTACTAACACCAATGAAAAATATTTGCGTAAGAAATATTTTCTACTTTGAAAGCTTTGAGAATGTGGGACTTGTGGAATCTGGGTTTGCTGATCACCTTCTTTTAAAAATCCCTTCCGTCTTTCCTCTTTCTTACCCTCCCACCTTATTACAGCTGACACCGCCCCTTTTTGGAACGCTTTTCAAATCAGAGGTGTGAAAAACTGCTGAAACAGGGAGGTTTCATGGCACTTTAAGAAACTCCACAATGTATTGCAACAAGCTCAGTAAACAAAAATCCATCAAGTCAGATGAAACAGGATATATGTGGGTTATAAATATAGGGGAGGCTGGGGATGGTTGTAACAGATGTCTATGGGCCAGATTTTCTAAATAGGACAAATTATTGTGAGATCCCAAATGCCATTGACTATTGCAACATTTAGTAAACCACATTGCATGATTTATTTAGATACTCTCCTCCCATACATTTTTGCATCTGAACGGGAAACTCCTACAAACGCACTTGCAATAAGGTTAACCACAAAAATAACTGTCCACATCTTTTCATTGCTAATTTCATTGCAAATTTGTCAGCTGTAAATCTACAACAGAAATTAGTTCCTTTTCAGGAACTCAAGCTGCGTCGAAACGCTATGGGAATGCCTTCAGTGTGACCACGCTCTGAATCACATGTGTAATCAGTCCAATGGATGGGCGAGACATCACAGGCGGGGTGGATACAGCGGCAGCTTTCTGTCATTCAGCAAGCGCTCTGTGTGTGTGTCAGTCTGACTATCCGTTTGTGAGTCTTATTTAGTGTTGTCTGTCCCTCACTATAAGCCATCATAATGCCAAAAGCGAACAATAAGACTAAACACTTGGGCGAGAGCAGACAGCATTTCAAGCAGACAACGCACAGACTGTGTGTATCCCCACCCGTAATGTAGCGCAGGCAGGGAGGAACACACACAGTCTGTACGTTGTCTGCTTGGGAGCGAAGCACGCAGAGTCATCTCTCGAGGGAGCTGACTGAGCTTAGCTCCCGGAAGGCTCTCTTCGAGGAGGGAGCCTTCACCAGCATTGCTCGTGGTGCCTGCCCCACTTCCGCTGAGGTGGAGTGGCGGCTGCGCTCGTGGGGATCGTAGATGGATCTGGTGGAGGGAATGGAGACGGGCGAGTCCCTTTCTTCTTCCTCACCCACCAGATCCAGCGCCCGATCTCTGGGATCAGAAGCCCGCTCCGCTGGTCGGCAAGGGGTACACGGCAGCGGGTAAGGCTGGCACTTGCTTGCACACCATGGCGGTGTTGCAGGCTTGCCAAGCTGACCTGCTGAAAGAGCTGGATGAGGGCGAGGAGATTACTGTAAGTCTGAGGACATTACAGAACTTACGAACCGCTGATCTGTCTCTCCGTGCCACCAAAGAGACCACCCACACCATCGGCAGGTCTATGGCAGCACTGGTGGCGGCGGAGAGACACCTGTGGTTGACCCTGTCTGATATGAAAGAGAAGGACAGGGTCTTCCTCATGGATGCCCCGCTTGCGCCTTCTGGCCTGTTCGACGACGCCGTCAATTCCATCGTCTACAGGTACCAGGAGGCTCATAAACAAGCCGCGGCGTTTCATCGGTTCCTCCCTCGCCGCTCTCTTGCTCTGGGGGCTGTGGGGCTGGAGCAGCCCCCTCCGTGTACCAGCTCCTCGTACAGGGAGGCACATAAACAGAAAGACGCTCTATGAAGCCGGATCTGTAGACCGTTCTTACGTTTAAGAATGCCTCGGCCAAGAAGTCCTGACGCTTGTGGCTTAGGACTTCTGAGGGCAGGCCCCTCTGAGGAACAGTGGTGTACACCTCATCATATGGTGCCCGTCTCTCCTCAGTACCCTCAGGAGATTGGTCTGCCAACCCTGCCACCCACAGTGCTTCAGGGCGCAGCGGTCTCCGGCAAGCGCTTCTCTCAGTCACCTCCCAGAAACGTAGCGGTACTAAGAGGCTCGCTACCTCTTCGGAGGTCTCTAGAGCAGCTAGTTCGACCGTCCCCTGCCGGTCCGCCGCTTCAGGGCACCGAGCTAGCCGCTCTGATTACACCAGAGGTCAGTCTCGAGAGACTGATTCCCTTAGTAGACTATTTGGCAGCGTGGAAACTTCTGCCAAATGTGTCTCAATGGGTCCTGCACCCTGTAGAAAGAGGCTACAGAATCCAGTTCGGTTCTCCTCCGCCTCGTTTCAACGGGGTCATTCCCACTCTGGTGGGCCCCGAGCAGGCTCTGGCAATGGAACAAGAAGTAAACACTCTCTTGAGGAAGGAGGTCATCGAGGTTGTCCCTCCTCTCGACAGAGAGTCCGGGCTCTACAGCCGGTTCTTCATCGTTCCAAAGAAGGATGGAGGGTTGTGTCCCATTTTAGATTGTCATGTGGCTGAAGTTCAGGATGCTCACTATCAAGCA